TGTATAATATATATAACAGTCCTGATAACAGGTATTTTATATCTTAGCTGAGATTATTTTAATTTTCACTGAATTTGACCAATGACCTTTACTTCCCATATGCTGGATAATTACCGTCCTTTATGCCTCTCGTGCACATTTTTATACCAATCCCTTCCCAGACCACGTTTTAGCTTTCCTGATATTCCAATTTTTGGATCCTTTGTCTTGCTAGCCTGGCCATCTCTTCTCCCAGCCATGCCAGCCTTCACCTGTCTGAACAGGTTTGCCAGTTAGCATGACTTTTCCCCCTCTTGTACTTTCCTGCCATGTGATTGCCATCATCTTTTTGCCCTCCAGCTTCCTAACAGGTTTGAACAAAATAGGGTTCAGTTAATGATCTTCTTGTGGTTTTTCTTTCTTAGAATTACTATTGCCATTTCTTTTTTCTCACCAGATTATTTCCTGGGGAAATCATTGTAATGAACATGATTATGGCTTGTGGCAGTTTTAACTCTGAGTTCAGTCCCTATCAAAGCCTTCAAGTAGGGAATGATGAGAAAAGAAAGAGAATTCAGGTAAGAAGAATGAAGAAAGTACACATTAGACAGGTACAGAAGGGCAGGTAGCTGGGGTAGAGGGTAGCAATCTTATTACAATTCTATACAGTTTTGTGTAGTTCCATTAAGCTTGTGAATCATTAGCTTATACCCAGGTTGTTAAGGACTTGGAGTGGAACCAGTGGAGGGTGCATGTACACAGACCTTTGCACCTACGCTTCAGGGAATTGTTATACAACTGCTGTGACAAGTATAGCCAAAGAAATTACTTATTTCTGATTCCTTTGATCATTCTCCTTTTGACCTTGCAGAAGGCAGGGGGCCCACCGTGGATTTCTTTCCTCTCTATGCCTCAATAAAATAGAGGCCAGGACTAATTTACTTTGAGACATCAACCTCAAGCTATAAAGAGCTGAGCAGTGGGTAGAGCCACAGCCATGCCTTCAAAAATAGATAATATGGCAGAAGAAGTTTCATCTTACAACCCCTGGGGGCTCCACGGGGAAGTGTCTCTGTCTCATGAGCCAAGATCACAGCATAGGTATTGAGTGGCAGCTTCAGAAGCACTGAAAGTCAGTAAGAGGATTAGATTTAAAGGAGCTAAACAAGACAGGAGGATTCAGTTTATCATGGGATGTAGTGGGTTTATATGTTGTGTAACACATCACCACAAATTATGTCAGCAGTAATGTAAAGCAACATAGATTTATTATCTCACAGTATGTGTGGATGGACACAGCTTAGTTGGGTCCTCTGCTTAAGGTCTCACAGGGCTGCAGTCAAGGTGGCTGTTTGGTGGCATTCTCATCTGAAGTCTCACCTGGGGAAGGACTCCCTTGCAAGCTCCCTCAGGCAGAATTCATTTTTTTGTGGCTGTAGGATCCATGTAAGCTTGCTTCTTTAAATGTAGACAGAGGGATAGACAGAGATGGAGATAGGAGAGGAAAAGAAAGAGACTTTATGTAATAGTTACTTTACATTATGTAAGCACATATACTTGATCATATGTATTCCATCACCTTTGGCACACTCCAAGTGGCAGATCCCACTCACACTCAAGGGAAAGGGGTTACACAAGATCATGAACACCAGGAGGCAGGGACAATGGGAGTCTCCTAAAGTCTTTTAAGTCTGTCCAGCAATCTGCCACACAAGGCTCGTGGAAACTATCCCTCTTGATGTTTAAACACCAAGGAAACCCAAATGTCTATCGATGGGTAAACAAATCATGATTCATACATACAATGGAATATTATACAGACTTAAAAAGAAAGAAAATTCTGACACATGCTACAACATGGATGAACTTTGAAGACATTATATTAAATAAAATAAGTCAGACACAAAAAGACAAATGTTGTGTGATTCTACTTATACAAGGTCCCTAGAGTAGTCAAATTGATAGAGACAGAAAGTAGAAGAAGTGTGGTTTCCAGGGGAGGAGAATGGAACGGTGATTTGTATTAGTCAGGGCTCTCCAGAGAAACAGAATCAGTAGGATACGTACATATATGGAAAGAGATTTATTATAAAGAATAGGCTCATGTGGTTATAGAGTCTGGCAAGTCAAAATCTACAGTGTGGGCTGCCAAACTCAAGATCCATGAGAGCCAATGGAACAATTCCAGTCCAAAGCCCAGCAAGGAGAGACCAGGAGAGCTGACGGTGTAGTTCCAGGCCAAAGGCTGTCTGCTGGAGAATTTTTTATTGCTTAAGTTTAGTCATTTTATTCTTTAGGCCTTCAACGTATGGATGAGGCCCACCCACACTATGGAATGGAATCTGCTTTACTCTACTGATTAACATGTTAATTGTATTCAAAAACATCCTCTCTGGGCACCCCATGGTCCAGTCAAGATGGTACATAAAAGTCACCATCACAGGAGTTATTATTTAATGAAAACAGAGTTTCCACTGGGGACAATGAAAAGGTCTGGAGAAGGATGGTGGGAATGGGTGCACAACAATGTAAAATGGAACTAAACAATACAACTAAAAATGGTTAAAATGGTAAACATTTTATGCTGTGGCATCTGAAATAACAGAGTCACTGTGGAAATGATAATGTGTCCTTTTCAGTGTGATATCATTTTGGCATTTATTATTTTATTGTTAAAAGAAATCTCCTGAGCTTCTGTTTATGTGAAAGTCACCATTGTGAGTGCAGAAATGTATCCATTCAGGATCTTGCTTCCTGGCACTCAGTTAAAGAAATCAGGCTTGGGTGATAAAGGTAAGAAATGCTGATTTGCTACAAACATTTGACTAGGATGTATTTGCTACATTCTGAGGTGTTTTTTTTGTGAACTGTGTGATAGAGTAAAACTTTAAATGACAGATAAACTTTTTCCATTTGGCCTTAACATATCCTGCACAGAAAAAGAGCATATAGAAAACTTAGGGAGGAAGAGGGAAATGGAATCCTAATTAGGCTGTCAATATCGGTGACTTTTCCTAATCATTTCTTAGATACTTAATTTATTTATTTACTTTTCCATTCTTCTTTTGTCTGTCCTTTTTTTCTTGTTTTTTTCCTGCAGTAGTTTAAAGAAAATTCCAGATATCATATCATTTTACTCATAAATACTTCAGAAGACATCCCTAATAAAATACATAAGACCTTTTTTTTTTTCACAAAGCACATATAACTTCAATAAGATATTTCTGGTTAGGAATTTCTGAAGGGAAAGTAGGTGAATATTCTATCAGTGAATACATATAGATGCGCTTATGGGGATCCCATGGAAGAGTCTTCGTGACATAAGTCAATCACTGGTTTGACTGAAATGTATTCTGTGATGGGTAATTCAGCTGTGCTGAGTATTACTACTACAGCAATAACTATGATTTATTGAGTTCTTATAATGCTCCAAGTACAAAGCTTGTCATTTTCACCCAATATCTCACTTGAATCCCTTTAGCAACATGATCAAGTAGACCTTATCACCAGTTATAGACAAAAACACAAATTCAGAGTGTTAAGTAATTTCTCAAGATTATAAAGAAATAATCTTGAGAGATTATGGAAAGATTTGAAGCTAGCTGTATATAGTCTCAAAGTGCTTTCTGCTGCTATGTTATACTGCCACTGTGTGAACCAGTACCTCAATCAAATTCTCAAATTACCCAGGACACCATTGCTGGAAATGGGAGTCATATGTGATTTGCCCCAAAATTCTTAAGTCTGTTGCCAATGAAAACAATGAAAATTAAAGAGGAAAATGTATGCTTTATAAAAGACAACATATAGAGACAGTCTGCTAAAATGAAATTAGCAAACAAATAAATATAAACATTGGAATCAAATGATCTGTTCCAAATGTACACTCTTTCACAAATTTAGTGCAACTTACTCACTTTGAATTTTAGTTTCTTTCTCTGAAGAATAGGTGCAATGCCTCTTCTCTAATGGCTGTGGAAAATACAGTTTTCCTTTTTATAAATTACTTAGTGAAATATCCTGAAACACCATGAAAATCACCACTTTCTCCACCTGCAATAGACATAACACAAGAATTTGCGTCAGCCAACTTCCCAATATGAAGAAAGCCTCCCCTTCCTCCTACCAATGATTGAGTCACTCTTCTATTAGATAAGAGTAGCTATTTAAATACTCCAGCAGAAGTTCACACATTTTTAGTCTGTTGAAGTTCTTGACTGCTTCACTCTCTCATTCTTGGTATGAATTTGGAAATGACTTTTGATGACTTCAAGACCAAGACTATGAAGGACCAGCCTGTTGAGAAGTCAAATGGACAGAAAGCTAAAGGTACTGGGGGTGGGTACATGTGTACAAGAACAGAATCCCAGTGTTAATCTCAAAATACAAATTCACTGAAGAATGGGATTAGAAAGCTAAAGCATACACGTATGGGAAAATGTAATAGAATTAATATTGTTTACTTAAAACCAAGTAGGATATAATGGTGATGATGATGATAATGATGACAAAGACAATTCATTTACACTAGCATTTACTATAGGCTATTCTCTCTGCTAGTCCCTTTAAATGCATTATTTCTCTGAATCTGCACAGTAACACTTTGAGTTTGGTACTGTTATTATCTCCCTTTTATAGAGGGCTGACTGGGGATCAGGAGAACTAACAAAATCTCCCACGTTTATGGAGTTAATGAAGTAAATTGGTATAAAAACAGTGCTGGCATTTATAGGTAGAGCTAGAAGTCAACAATAGTCATTTGTTTAATCGTTCATTATTTGTGTAGTAAATATTCAGTGCCTGACTTTTGCTGTAATTATGAAATTGATTCTTCTTTCAGAATTCTGATTAGATCAGTTACCTACTACAAAGAATCTGATTACTTTCTGATTAGAAAATCACCAGTAGGCATGGCAGTTGAATTAATGGTTCGTGCCTACCCAGGAGACAGGACAAACGGGGGGCCCATGGAAAATGGGAACATTTACCTTTCTTTCACAGGTGTGGGTCCTGTGATTTTTTTCTTCTAACAATTCAGAAGTTTTTCACCATTCACGGGTGATGGGCATACTTGGTGTCTTATAATATGGAACGAACACTGACCAGAGAAAAAAGTTGGTTGAAAGATTTACACAGGGATATTTGCCCATAAGGCTAGAATTAGGCAATTATTTGCAAGAGACACAGTTAGTTATCTTCTACTTCTTCTCTGCCAGCTTGCCACATACACACACTCTAGAAGCCAATAACTACTGAATCAGAGAATGAACCATATTCCTCTATGTCCAATTTCTATTTTCTTTTTATCTCTGTAGAGTTTAACACAGTGCTTTTGACACATGAAAACTCCGTGAATGTATTTGACCATTGATTGACTTGGATCATGACACATTCACATGGGAAATTTTGTTATGTAATGTTTCAAGTCATGTAGCTACTGACAATTAGATTAAAGACCTATGTTTGGGTTTTAGCATCTGTGTGATCTTAAGCAAGTCACTGAACCTGTTTCCTCAATGTGCACATAGAGGGTAACAATATCGGTGACTTATTTGTTTATCTCACAGGCTAGGAAAACAAATACATCGTATGGGATGTTTTCCTGCTGAACCATAATATCTGTATTTTTTTTTAGTGGTAGAACACACAATTAGATATTCATACATCTGTGAGCTACATAATTTATTTGCTTTTATAAAAGCGGTACATTTTTCTCATAAAAACAGGCCCACCTTGGCGTGAGTATAGAACAAAATGTTCATTTAACATGTAAGACAGATGAATATTGAGATTTCATTCCTATATTTCTTTAGTCAATAACCCCAGTTCCAAGATGCAATTTTAATTGAATAAAAATTGGATAGCATAAAAGTATGCATAAAATTCTTTGAGGAAATCTCAGCTGATTAACTGACTAAAGCTTATTTGCTTGATGTCTGACATTTGTTTTAGTTACTTATAAAGCACACTGTGTACGTGTACACATGTGCAAATGTGTGTACACACAATTTATATTAAAAACATTAGGCTCTTTGGACTATGAATGAAGTTCATCCAATCAAGCTGCTCTAAGAATTTCTGGAAGAGTCATTGTAGGAAGAGAAGACAAAGTATAAACTTTAGAATCAGATATTCAGAGTCAGATATCTGGTGTTGAATCCTGGCTCTGAAATTTACCAGTTATGTGACCATGGGTAAATTGCTTAAATTCTTTAACTGCCTGTATTTTTCATTTGTAACTGTGTGTTATGGATTATTTGCAGAGCCACTGGCAGGAACAAAGGCAAGGAATACAGAGCACCTAGTGCAGACAGGATCCAAAGAAGGCTTTGATTGTGTGTCCATCCTTTTTTGCCTTTCTGATTCTATCTTCTGTCACTGTAGGTCTTCAGTGTCTTTCTTCTCCATGGTGGTGCCTGGCTGCTGTGACTCTAGGGATCCTTTGCCTGGGATCACTGGTGACCATTGTACTGCTGGGGATACAATGTAAGTGCCGAAATAGGGAAATGATGAGGGGTAGATAGGAAGTTTATACACTGGCTTACAAATTTGTTTCATAACAAACAGCCTTGATTTAGATTCATTTTAGGCAAAATGTTTTTAGAATGGGAAGATGAATGGGTACATAGTGTTCATCCCTCAAATGGACAGAGGCATGGAATGAAGATTATAGATGGTGGGATTTTTTGTTTTGCTTTGTTTTGTTTTCATTACTTCATGGATAGAGCCTATTTAAATTCTAGAATGATGGAGAAGAAAATAATTTAAAATTACGAATCCACAAGATCATCTGAGAGATCCAAAAGTAAAAAAAAAAAATTAGCTCTCATTGAGTTTTGACCTTTGGCCTTTGAAGTGCTATTTGCATCTCAATTATTCAAGCTCACAAACTTCCATTTTCAATCTGTGAACACTGCCTTAGGGTCTTTCCTAATGACTGGGAGAAGTGCCCTTGACTCAGTGGCAGTGATTGGAAAGGTCTTCCTCTAAGGCTTTGATTATCTTACGGCAGGGTCAAATCTGGCCTTCAAAACTAGTGGTCTGCTTTGTAGTACTCCATCAAAATTCTAGAACTGACATATTTTACACTTAACGTTCATTTCATGCTTGATTTCACAACCTTCATTCATCTCCACCCTTCTTAAAATGTACTGTAGCCAAAGAAAGCAAAAAGAAAAAAGTGTATGGAGACTTTGTGACACAGTAACTTATAATAATTCTGTGGGTGGCTGTCTGAAAAAAGGGGTGAGTCTCACAGTCCTTAAATAAAATTAGGAAGTCTGGAAGGGTAGACAGAATGGGAGGAGATATAACAGAGGAATTAAGACACAAGTAGCATAAATTACTAATGACAATTCCTACTCATAATCGCTGAGTCTAGTGGGTGTCTATTTTAGGTTGTCTGTATTTTATTTATTCCATGAATATACTGCTTATCTGGTGATTAATTACTTTTAACTGGTGTGTAACTCTAACTAAAAAATAAAATCCTGGTAATTTTTTTTTTTTTTTTAAATCAGAAGTTTCTGCGAAGTTCCTGACAGCAAGAGAAAAATACTGCAGGAATATTGAATAACTTCCAAATCTATAATTTCTGAGTAACTTTTGGTTGTTTTCCAGCAGCTTATCTATTGTCAAAATAGATTATTTGAGTCTATGTTTTGATTTGCACATTTCTTCAAAATCCAGTGTGGGGATTTTTATTGGGATTGGAAATGGAGTCTTAATTCAGCCATAATTTAGTATCCCAGGTGTCTGACCTTCTAAAGCAACAGCAAGCAAACCTGACTCACCAGGAAGATATACTGGAGGGACAGAGCTTAGCCCAGCGACAGACGGAAGAAGCTTCCAAGGAATCACAAAGAGAACTCAAGGAAATGATCGAAACCCTCGCCCGGAAGCTGGATGAGAAATCCAAGGAGCAAATGGAACTTCGCCACCAGAACCTGAATCTCCAAGAAGCTCTGAAGAGAGCAGCAAACTTTTCAGGTATTGGGGAAAGGGGGATGTGAAGACAGTTGCTGTCAGTTTTCCATTCAGTCTTAACTATTCTTTGGAAATATCTCTAGGCACAAAATTGGCATATTGATATATGTATCGCTTTCATTCATAATGTTCTACACCAGAAGTTCTCAATTTTTATTATACCCATCCTACCTGATGCCAAATCTGTGAGGTATCTGATTTAATTAAGCACACCTTCTGGTGGATTTAAGTTTTTCTTCCTTACAGGAGCCTATTCTTTCTTTTTAAAATTCTAGTTATGAGATTTTTCTGGAGGAACCCTCCCACCTTTGCCCCTTGCCATAGATCCTACCTCTTTCCATTTCAGTGCATCTTAATCATTGGGTTTCTTTCTCTAAGGGATCTTCTTGACCTTGCAACTCGCTACCCCTACTTCCACATTAGCTTCATTCTTTGGTGCTATTTCTTTTTTTTTTTTTTGAGACAGAGTCTCACTGTGTTGCCCGGGCTGGAGTGCCGTGGCATCATCCTAGCTCACAGCAACCTCAAACTCCTGGGCTCAAGCGATCCTACTGCCTCAGCCTCCCGAGTAGCTGGGACTACAGGCATGCGCCACCATGCTCGGCTAATTTTTTCTATATATTTTTAGTTGTCTGATTAATTTCTTTCTATTTTTTTAGTGGAGATGGGGGTCTTGCTCTTGCTCAGGCTGGTTTCGAACTCCTGAGCTCAAACAATTCGCCTGCCTCGGCCTCCCAGAGTGCTAGGATTACAGGCGTGAGCCATTGCGCCAGGCCTCTTTGGTGCTATTTCTTAAAGTTTACTACCTCTGTTTAAGTGGAATTAATGGAGGTAGGCTGGTTTCAAGTGTTAGGTAGATACTTCAGATTAGACAAAAATATAAGGTGTCCAGGAAGTCTGTTTATATAAGAAGAGTTGAGTTGATCTCAGCCATCTAAAGGGACTCAGAATCTAAGAGTCAGACAGAAATAGTAGCCTCTGTAAGAAAATGATGATGTGTACTCTGATACCATTACAGAAGCTGTCTGTATTATTTACTCTTTCTACAGTGTATAATTAAATCATGTATATGCTTTAGCCATAGGGAGTGTTACATGGTGTGAGGCGGAATCACTTGCAGAGGTACATTGCTTTGTTGGAGGTGGTTAGTATTAGTATTAATAACTAACTACCACTAATAAATGGAGATTTTTACAGCTTCTTGGTTGTACGTCTCAATCTCAACCAGGTAATTTCTTTGAATAAAGATTATATGATAAGAGTTTACAGAACCCATCCCTTTATTTTATAGATGAAAAAATTAAGACCAAGATAGGATTAAATGATGATAATAATGATAAGTAGTTTTGTATAAAGTTTTCCAATTTATAAATCTCTTCACTATTTATGGAGTCATTTAAATATCCAAAATAGGCAGAATTTTTTAGACAAACTAATCTTTAGCAAGCGTCAAATATGTATTAATCTCTTTAAGGAGGGGGCTTGCAAGGAATTAAATGAATGCAATACCTTGAAGAAGGCTTGAAGGGAGGAGGCTGTATAAAGGATAGGAATGTTTATATAAACAGACATAGCTACATACCAACTCATGGTTTATTTCACAGGCAGGCCTGTGAAACAGTTGTCTTTATCAGTTGTATGGGATTAAATCTACGTCAGGACTGTTCAGAACCGTCTCCCAGAAATACCATGCGTAGACAACTAATAAAAAAAATAAGAAATGTTATGTCTGATGCTGGCAGATACACCAGGTAACATGTTCCATTTCTTGACAGTGTCAGATAAAGGCCCATTAGTAGAGATACCAAATAAAGTTCTGCTTTTCATCAAGCAGCTTTGAGAAGATTCTCAAAAAAATACTATTAATAATATTAAAATACCATATGGAAAAAACTATGCTAGTTTTCTCAAATTTGAGGCAAGGTCTATCTTTTATAGTAACAAGTCTGGGGTCCTCACTGTATATATGAGAAGAGAGTGACTCTGAGAAGTTACCCTATTTGGCGTGAGGTCATCGAGCTCTTGAGATGCAGAGTCTTCGCAGGAATACACTTTACATTTACCACTGGAATTAGTGGTGGCTTCCAGCCTTTCTGTATGCAAGCAGGTTTTTAAAAATAGCAAATTCCAGATTTGCCCCAAGATTCTGTATCAAAATGTCTTGAGGGACACCGAGAAATATTTCCTCAAATGGTTCTGAGACGTTTGAGAAGTAGTGTGTTACAGTGATTAAACACACAGACTCTACAGTTAGACTGCCTAGGTTCAAATCCCGTTTTTCTCCATCTGTCAAAGAAAATTATGTAACCTACCTCATAGAGTTGTAATGAGAGTTAAATGAGTTAATACATAGGAAGTACTTCTGACAATTTCTAGTACATAGTGATGTTTGGGTTTGTTAAATTATATACATATATGTATCTGCAGTTGGTTAAAATATCACATTTTGAGATGTGTCTTTCTTGCTTTGGCACTGCTAGGAAAACTTGCCCAGGCTGCTCCTTTAGTCCACAAAAAGCTATGTTTTTTTTTTTCATTTACATAATATAATGGGATTAGGCAAATTAAGAATCAGCTTGAATTCATTGCTTTAAGCTTGGTCTTTTTTATGCCCTTTCTCATTCACTTTCTTCTTTCATTTTTTAGTGCCCTCCTACTTTCTCCTCTCTGATGAAGCCTACTCTTATATAATTATCTGATGATTTTGCACCACAGTGAAAACCGAAATTAAAATGCTGCCTTTCTCAAAGATTTTAATTTTTTCACCATTTGGTCACAGTGTAAACCAAAGTGCTTTGTTTTCCTTTAAAGAGATTCCAAGTGTTCGTAACACACGGAAGAGGTGATGACAATGATGATGACAATAATGATCATTTGGGGGTTGTTGAAAGCATCCATAAACATATAGACATTGGCATGTTTTGCCTATTGCCTAAGCCCTGAGTTGGGTTTGTTGAACTCTCTGGGAATTTCACTGCTGAAAAACTCCCTGTTTTCTGAAATCTTATTGAAATTGAGATCCTCACTTTGCATCAATATATGATTCTCCCTAGAACAACTCCATCCAAAAGAAATATAGTGTGTGCCGCATATGTATCATTACATTTCCTAGTAACCACATTTAAAAAATGAAAAAGATGCAAATGAAATAAATGTCAGCAATATATTTTATTTAACCCAAGATATTTGAAATATTACTTCAACACTAATCAGTATAAAAATTTTAATGGGATAGTTTACATTCCTTTCTCGTACTAAGTTTTCAAACTCAGGTGTGTATTTTATACTTACAGCACATCTTAATGAAGACTAGCCACATTTCTTGAGTATTTTAAGTACTCAAGAATCACATATGGCTACTGTATTGGACAGCACATGTTGAAAGGCAGAAGGCATGGTATTTAAGTCCAACTCTATTATTCAAAGATGTGAAGTTTTAAAATACATAAGCATAACTTTTAATAGCAGAATGGCTATTAAATATCCATTCCCCCAAATCTCACTTTTGTTATTCCAAACATAACTTTAAAAAATAGACCAGTTTCTAAAATTACATCCCAGCTTGCTTGCTTTTTAACAGGGGAAGTGAAAATGCTAAATGAGAAGTAAATTTAGTTCGCTAAAATCAGAATGCTTTATTTCTTTTTTTTCCCCAAAAACTGGAGAAGTAAAGACTCTGAGACTACTTAGGTATTTGCAGCATCTGAATATAATTCTAATTAAGAAGAAATGGTATACTTGTGAGAGGACTAAGGGGAGAATTGGTTTAAGAGTTACAGAAATACTTTTACTCAGACATAACTCACGGATTGGTTATAATACCCTTCCTAGTTCCTTGTCCTCAAGATTGGATCTGGCATGGAGAAAACTGTTACCTGTTTTCCTCTGGCCCATCTGATTGGGAAAAGAGCCGAGAGAACTGCTTGTCTTTGGATGCCCAGTTACTGAAAATTAATAGCACAGGTGACCTGGTGAGTGTTTATGGATGTTTGTTGATGAGTATTGGTTGATAGGTAAATATATCTGGTTTAGGCCATCAGTGGAGGAGTACTTGTTTGAGGGCCAACATACCTGGTTTTTAGCCTGACATGGCCACTAATGATGTCCACGACCTTGGATTGACATGCTACTTAGTGTTTCTAGGCTTCTGGTAACATTTCCATGAAACCATCAAGGGGATGTCAAAGATCCCTTTTGGTTCTTTAGTTTTATGAATCTAATGCTAATGACTTTTGATTCTAAAACCACCATATTGATTCCACCATCAACTCAGAAACATTACTCCCCACAGGACTTCATCCGGCAAGCAATTTCCCATTCCAGTTACCCATTCTGGACAGGACTGTCTCTAAGGAAACCCAACTACATATGGCTCTGGGAGGACGGTTCTCCTCTGGTGCCCCATTTGTAAGTTTCCTGTTTTTGTTTTTGTTTTGTTGTAAGTTTCCTATTCTTTGCTGAAGCTGCTGGTGAAGTTATTGCTGTGTTCCTACAAAGTCCTCTTCTTGCCAGAGAGAAGCTTAGGGAATTTCCAACAGTCTCTTTCCTCACCTCTCTCACAAAGGGATTTGCTCATTTACCCATTGAAATCTCTTGAGTTTTCCTTCCCACATCTATTACTGATTTGAAGCTTTAAGACAAGGCTAAGTTCCTGACACAAGGTGGCAGTAAATCTAACTGTTGTTTTCTCTCTTCCCGCAGGTTTAGACTCCAAGGTGCTGTTTCCCAGAGGTACCCTGCAGGCACCTGTGCATATATACAACGAGGAGCTGTTTTTGCTGAAAACTGCATTTTAGTTGCATTCAGTATGTGTCAGAAGGCGGCAAATCTATTGACAGCACAGTGAATCTGAAGGCTCTGGAAGAAAAGAAGAAGGTCTTTGAATTTTGAAATTTGAGCTATTTCTTTGTCACTTGGGTGTCAGGCACGAGAGCCCTGAGAACTGCCAATTATTAGCTGGCTGCGGAACTCCTCAGCAGAGACCAAGGCCCCAGCTGCCTGGCACCTTTATATCAAAAGTTTTGATTCCATCTATCTACATTTTCCCCCTAGCTTGCCCCACCCCTTCCTGGTAGCCTTCGATCCCTCTTCCCTTTTCTATTTTAGAATTTGGCTCCTCTCCAAGCTTGGGAACCCTCTGCACTCAGTCTTGTCTACTTCTATGCCACCATCCCCTCACCCTCCTGAAACTGCATAGAAGGCAGAACGTGGAGAACTTGCCCAACTGCAGGCAGAGAGCAAAAAAAGAGGAAATATACCTAGGAAACTGCACATGAAGAAACGGAGAAGGGCAAAGACCACACTGAAACCAAGAAACTGTTGTCAACTTTAAAAGCCATTACTCTTTGGTTTTTAAATTGTGATCCATTTCCAGATTCCATCATTTATTAATATGTATATACACACACGTGTGCATACAAACACGTATATATTTGGGGACAATTGGGGAGACCTGGGTAGTATTAATGATTTGTAATTGGGTGGTCTTTTCTGTGAAGTAATGCACAACCCATTATTACTTCCTGGAATCAGTTATTATTTCTTCATCTTTTCTCTACCAAAGAACAACTTAGTAGCTTTAACCCTTCAAAAACAGCATTTGTTAGAATCATAGGATGTATGGCCTGGAAGAAAAATAGTAGAATTTTTTTTTTCTCAAAGCACATACCCTCTGTAGATGACCTTTTCTCAACTCTGTTATGCTGTGCTATAATTCAGAAACATACAAAAATCAAAAAAATAAAGACACCCAATTCTAGAACAAACTGAGCCAGGTGTGCAAATATTGCTGAGTAGGAACAGATGGAATTGAAATACCCCTTCTATTTCCAGTGCTTCTGCTTCCTTTCCACCTCCCCCCACAGCCTATTCTACTTCAAAGGAAACCTTTTCATTTTGCTGCACATAATCTAACACCAATCATATACAGGTGTGTGTGTGTGTGTGTACCTGGGAAGTATCCAGCCATTGCTAATATTAAATGCATGGCTCGATACTTTCCGGACAGCCCTGGTATGCACACACATGCACACACACACACGTACACATATCCCTATCATTCTTTGGAAGACAAAAGGTGTTTCATTAAAAACTTTCTTGTGATGTAATTGACAGGTAATAAACTGAACATATTTAAAGTGTACCATTTGGTAAGTTTTCACACCTTGTGAACATGTCCACCACAATCATGATAGTGAACATGTCCATCACCCCTCGAAGTTGCATCATGTCCCTCCCCAATGCCTTTTCCCCAGAAAACCACCAATCTGCTTTCAGTTTGCATTTTGTAAAATCATGCAGGATGCTTTTTTAGGGGTTTAGCTTCTTTCACTTTCCATAATTATTTTGAGATTCATGTATCTCCATCCTGTTGATTGTATCAGTTGCTCATTCTTTGTAATGTTGAGTATTACCTAGTATGTATATACCACAATTTGTTTATCCATTTATTTGTTGATGACATTGGGGTTGTTTCAGTTTGGGGACATTACAAATAAAGCTGCTATGAACATTTATGTACAAGTCTTTGTATGAACACAGGATTTCTTTTCTCTTGGGTAAATACCTAGGAGTCCAATGTCTGGATCATACAGTAAATGTGTGTTTATCTATTTAAGAAACTGCCAAACTGTTTTCCAAAGTTGTACCATTTTACATTTCTACCATGATGTGAATATTGCAATTCCACCTCATTGGTGCCAGAATTTGGTATGGTCCATGTCGCAGTTTTAACCATTCTAGTTTATATGTAGTGGTATATCATCATAGTTTTAATTTGCATTTCCTAATGGCAAATGATCTTGAGCATATTGTTATGTACTTATTTGTCACCTGTATGTTTTCTTTTATAAAGTAACTGCATATATCTTTTGAGAATTTTTATTTGGGTTATTTGTTTTCTTGTTGTTGAGTTTTGAGAGCACTATATATTTGGGATAAAAGCCCTTTATCAGACATGTGTCTTGAGAATTCGTTTTCAGTCTGAGGCATATCGTTTCATTCTTTGAACAGTATACTCAGAAAAGCAGAAGTTTTTAATTTTAATGAAGTCCGTTTTTACATTTCTGCTGTCATTTCTAAGAACTTGTTGCTTATCTCAAGGTTACAAAAATTTTCTCCTATGTGTTTTTCTAGATAATTTATAGTTTCAGATTCTACATTGAAATCTGTGACCTATTTTGGGTTAATACGTGAGTTATGTGTTGAAGTTCTTCTTTTGCATATGAATATTTAATAATGCTTTTTAACAAAAGACTATTCTTTATTTTCTGCATTGTTTTTGTACCTTTCTCCACAATCCATTGTTCATATATGTATGAATTTATTTCTATGCTCTCTATTCTGTTCCACTG